AAAACTAATTGTAATGTCGTAGCAAGAATATTTATAGGGGACAAACCCTAGGCCAAAAACTCTAGGTCCAAATTAAATACGAAAATAATAATAAAGTTTCTAAAATTATTAACAGTACTAAATAAGTCCAATGACTAAACTAATTCTTAAACTTCATATGAAAATAACATTGCTTAATGGACTTACACCCCTTAGGCTGTGCGCCATCAGTAGCCTATGTTTATTCGACTGAATTTAGAGTCAAAATATGTCTCTAGGAGCATTTCCATCCTAGTTCATGTTGCTGGTCATTTCCAATCCACCTTTCTTTTTCCTCCAAATATTTGGTAACATCCTTTAATCTCATTGCCATTGGCCACAAGTTGTAATGTTGTACATGTTTAAACTAGAAACATTTTGAAGGTTTATTGAGAGGTATAACAAAGCTCTTGGTATACGATTCATGTGTGACAACAGCTTGTCCACTCTGCTTCATGGTATTTTTTCCAGCTACTTGTCTTCTTTTCCAATATTCCATTTCTATTACTTTTTTCAACTCCCATTACCAAATTTTTGTAGTTTTGGTTTTAAAATTCAAGTTTTTTCATTGAATTCGACATGAAATCATATCGAAAGACCAAAGCACCCTTAGTGAGTAATGTTATTTTTATTTTTTTCACTTTTAAAACTAGGTCTTCCATCCTAGAATAATAGACAATAGATGTTTTTTAATTTAGAATTTATCCTAAAATAAAATTATTTTTTATATTTTAAAGGAGACAAATATTTTTTAGTTAAGTCCCCAATTTGGTCCTTGAACTATTATACGGACCTTTGATTTGGTCCTTATTGTTTACTACTTTACCCTAAGTTGGTCATTCTGTACAAAAACTAATTAACGTGTTTTGTTATTAACGTGACACATGGCCATTAACTTACTGTTTTTTGTTATTAAATTACTATTTTTCATCGTTAAGTTACTATTTTTCGTCGTTAAGTAACAGACATGTTAGCTATTTTTTGTACAAAAGGACCAACTCGGGGTAAATTGGTAAACAGTTGGGACCAAATTGGGGGTCTGTACAATAGTTCAAGGATCGAATTGAGTGTTTAACCTATTTTTTTCTTCCTTTTATCTTATGATTGTCTTTTAACTTAATTATTTATCTAATTATATGTTGTTCCCAAACCCTACATCTTGAAGATAAAATAAAAATTATTTATTATTCTGGATTAGAGTAATCAATATTTTAAGTGTAGTAGGTCCTAAAAAAGCCATTCTCAAAACTCAAATACAATAAGGGATTGCAAAAATTAGGATGTCTTGACAATTAAAATATTAAGACTATATATGAAAAGACTTAAATATTCTTAATTTGTTTGCTTTGAGAGGAGGGGAGGTGTGGGGAGGAGAGGGAAGTGTAAGGGGAGAAATTTCCCTATTTGCTTTACAAAAAATTGGAGGGAATGGGAGGGGAATGGTTTCCCTTTATTTTGTGCTCTCTCCCCCTCTCTTTTTTGTATCTTAGTCTAACCAACCAAGGGGAGAGGATTTCCTTCTATTTCCCTATCTTCCTCTTCCCTTAAACCAAACAGGGATTAATGACTCAATATATAAAAAAGATTAAGAATATTTAAATAATTTTATAGGTAATTCTAACATTTTAAATATTAGATGTCTTGATTTTTACTTTTCTCATGCAATAAATATATTATTTTAGAGAATTTCTTGAAACACCAATGCAATTCTTTAATCATAATAATTGATAAAAAAAATTGGAGTAACGAAAATGGAAACATGAATGTAACATTCCCCTTTTGAAGTAGGGAAATGTCCTACACAAAATAAAAAAAGGAGGAAAATATCTATAGGATCAAAGGCTCCTTTTATATACCATTTCCAGGCTCAAAATTAGTACAAAATAGATTAAAAATTATAGAGCCAACCATAATTTTGGGCAGATATAGACTTGTTTTATTGACTACTTGGATGCATTGTTCATTGTTAGCGTATGACATCCACCAAAAGTCTTAGGAAATAATAGCTACTCCTTAATCCTACTATATGGCATGGTGGAATAAATTCCATGAGCTCACAACCCAATAAACATAACTCTTAACCATAAGTTAAGCTCATAATGTTTACTTAGTTCATTATGTAGAAATGTACCATTAGTTTTTGGTAGTACTAGTATTACTAATAATTTAGACAATTAGCCATAGAACAATCACATAACACAACACATTAAATAGATTTAACATTGACTATGGAGTCCATTGAAATGTGCATGCACTCACATTAAGTGCTAGAGTGAGGCATAGCACTTACCTACTGTGTAGAGGTCTACTAGTTCACTATTTTAACCCCCAAGCTGAAGTCGGGGTCTAGACTCTCTATTATTTGAAGATAATTATACCACAAAAACATATACCATATAGAAACATGCATCACATGTTCAACAATCAATGTAATCTGGAGAACCATAAAGAAAACATGTATAACATCAAAATTTAACTCGTTAAAATGTAGTAAATCTCAATTTTAGACCTTAATAGTCTAGTTTAAATCTCATTCTTACTATTTCCACAAGTAATTTCATCAAGAAATTGGCTTTAGTGCAGATTATTCTATTTAAATCATGGTTTTAAAAATTGAACCGGTGATCGAACCGGTTTACTTACCAGTTTTCAGTTTGACCGATCGGACTGGTTCAACCGGCCGGCCAGCTGGTTCAATCAGAAAACGCAGAATTGCAAATTCTGGGCATTCCCGGCAGAACAAGCCTGCTGTTTTAAGATTTTTTCTTTGCCATTTGTACCAAATACAAGTCCAAAAACTCAATAAATAGATTAAAAAGTATCATACAATTATAAATCTCAAAATTAATAAATCTCATACATACATATATATGAAAAATAAGTTCACAAACTCAAACTAATATATAAATGATGCATAAATTAAAATTGTTCATTGTTTATCTCCTATTTGAGGAGGATCTTCATTAAACCAAATATCACGTTCACGAAAATCATTTTTACTATCATAACTATTATAATTTTCTTCACCAATTGACTCCAAATCAATTCCTCCACTTGCACCACCAATATAGAATGATCCTTCTTCACCACCTTGTACTTCTTCATCAATATTATGTGTGCCACCTTAAAAGTTAAAAAGTAAAAACATATAATAAATAAAAAATAACAAAATAAATCATAATTCAAAACTAACTCGCATAATCAATAAGATAATTCATAGAAAGACAAAATAACATAATAAATATAAAATCAAATATTATGAAAAAAAAGCTTTGATAGTTTGATTGGTAGAAATCTCTTAAAATTTTACACTCTATCTAATAAACTCCTCAAATTTGATTTCTATTTCAGATTTTTAGTGGAGAAACAGATATTGTCCAACTCCAACCGTTTCAAGAAATTGCAAGGAAGTTGAAAGCCTGTGACAGTGAGTTTACCGGCAGCACCCTCGAACGGACGGTGAGGGCCTTTGGTGGTGGGTCACGGCTGTTGGGTGAACGTCGATCTGCTGCTTGCTGCTGCTGCTGGAGACACGATGAACGTCAATCTGCTGCCCCGCTTTACTGCCTTGTGTTGTGGTTTCTTCTTCGATCTGCTGCCCCGATCTGCTGCTTGTATGGACGTCGAGAAGGAGGACGATGGTGAATCAGATCTGCTATGCTGTGGAGTCCGATTTTGTTGAGAATGGAATGGAATAAAATTAGAAACCCCGACTGTGGGTGTGGGAAAAAAAAAAATTGCAGATCGTGCGTGGCCCTGCGTGCGTCGGTGCCGTCCAGCCTGGAGGAATTCGCCCGGCGGGTTTGCCGGGTCTGCCGGGCTGGACGGGTTGAACGGGTTCCCCGGGTTTGGACGGGCCAACCGTCCAAACGGGCCTGGGGTCAACCCAGCCCGTTTCATGCTCTGGGTGCTGGTCGAACCTGTCGGACCGGCCGGTCCGATCTGGGTTTCAAAACACTGATTTAAATCATACATTACTTATTGTAGCCCATATATTATATAACTTGAACTACAGTATCATAGTTCCTTTGTATACTATGTTAATCTTATATTTATTTCTCTTTTTATGTTAGACAGCCTAAACTTAAAGTTAAGAATCACACTTACCCCACACACTTGTTCAAAATTTTGCGCTTGATAGAGTTTCTTAAAGAATCTCCAACTTTGCCTAGCCTTTCAACACCTTTTTTTTCCTTCTCTTTTGGTCCAGCTAGAGGCAAAATTGTAAAAAATGACTAATTTAGTTATATAGCTCAAAAACCTTCGATCAAGTGGGTTTTAATTGCTCCCCACTTTGCCCACTTCTCATCCAACCACCTGTCATTTATTTTAACATGTTATAGACAGTTGGACTGCGCTAAACTTTCCTTAAGATAAACACTTGGTCCATAGTTTATTAAAATAACATTCAATCCTATAATTTACAATTATTATAGATTAGTCCCTAATTCTAGATGAGATTAAGAACTCTAACTTTAGACTCAAAGCAAATAAGGACTTATTTTTTTAACTAATTGCAAATAAGGACTAAGATATCACATTTTTCCATCCTTAAAAGATTTGGTCCCCAAATCTATTCTTACTAGAAAACAACAGAGGATATTGTTTTCTAATTTGCTTCTCTAGTTCCTAGGTGGCTTCTTCCTTAGTATGGTGCTTCCAGAGAACTTTAACCATAGGAATAACTTTATTTCTTAACACCCTCTTCATCCTTTATAAAATCTGTCTTGGTTCCTCAACATAACTCAAATATTCCTAAGTTGTAGAGATTCATTCTTGATAATGTGTGAAGCATCAAGTCCATATTTTCTCAAAATTGAAATATGAAAAACATTGTGCAACTTAAACATCTTAGGTGGCAACGTAATTTTGTATGTTATCCCTCCAATCCTTTTTAAAATTTCAAAGGGTCCAATAAATCTTGGTTTTAGGTTCGCTTTCATGCCAAATCTGTTTATGCCTTTTGAAGGTGAGACCTTTAGAAACACATGTTGTCTTACTTTAAACTCCAATGGTCTTCCTCTCTAATTTGCAAAAGCCTTCTACTTATCTTGAGTTGCCTTCAATTTTTGCTAGATCAATTTGACCTTTTTTTATTGTTTTCTGAACTATTTCAGGTCTTAACATGTATTCTAACATATGCTTTTCTCTCACCTCAATCCAACAAATTGGGGTTCTACATTTTCTACCATACAATGCTTCAAAGGATGCCATTCCTATATTAGAATGGTAGCTATTATTGTAAGCAGATTCAATTAATGGAAGATGTTCATCTCAACTACTTGAGAATTCAAGTGCATAGATTCTTAACATATCTTCAAGAGTCTAAATTGTTCTTTCTAATTGCCCATCTGTTTGTGGGTGAAATGTTGTACTCATTCTTAACTATGTGCCCATTGTTTTCTAAAATGATCTCCAGAATCTTGCTATAAATCTATTGTCTCTATTTGAGATTATACTCATTGGAACACCATGAAGCTTCACCACCTCTTTGACATAGAGCTTAGCTAAATTGTTAAGTGAATCATCCACTTTTCTTCACAAAAAGTGTGTTGATTTGGTCAACCTATCAACAACTACCCAAATCAAATCATGTTGCCTTTTAGTTCTAGGTAGTCCTCGAACAAAATCCATAGAGATTTGCTCCCATTTCCATTGGGGTATAGGAAGAGGCTATAATTCTCCTACTAGATTCTAATGTTTAGCTTTCACTTGTTAACAAGTCAGATATTTGGCTACAAATTCTGCAATATTCTTCTTCATACCATGCCACTAATATTCTTTCTTCAAGTTTTGATACATTTTTGTGCACCTAGGATGTATAGTAAATTTAGATTGGTGAGTCTCTTTTAATAAATCATTTTTCTATTCTGCATCATCAGGAATACACAATCTATTTCCTAATTTGAACAACCCATCTGTAGCCATTCTAATTCCTATGTTCTTCTTCTTTTCTTCATCATTTAACCACCCTTGTAACTGAGCATCACCTTCTTGAGCTTCTTTAAATTCCAACCAATAGTTCTAGTTGTATCCTCAAACTAGCAATAATTAGTCTAGGGTGCTATTGCAAAATCTTCACATTCATTTCACTAAAATCTTCAAACAACTTCCATTTTGTTACTAACATTACTGCAAAACTACCACTACCTTTTCTATTGAGAGCATCTACTACAACATTACCCTTTCTTGGCTGATAAGCAATGCTACAATTGTAATCGTTAAAATACTCTATCCACCTTCTCTGTCTCAAATTTAAATTTTTTTGGGAAAACAAATATTTTAAACTCTGGTGATCTGTAAAGATTTCAGATGCCTCACCATATAAATAATGCCTCCATAGTTTAAGTGCAAATATAATGGTAGCTAATTTCAAATCATGTACTGGGTAATTTTTCTCATGATTTTTAAGTTGTTTAGACCCATAAGCAATAATTTTGCCCTCTTGCATTAACACACATCCTAACCACTTTAAAGAAGCATTTGTGTACATAGAAAATCTCCCTTTGTTATTTGGTAAGGCTAGAATAGGAGCTAAAGTCAATATTCTCTTTAATGCTTGGAAACTTTTTTCACACTCCTCATTCCATTCAAGTTTTTGACTCTTCCTAGTTAGTTGAGTTAAAGGACCAACTATTTTTGAATAACCCTCCACAAATCTTCTGTAATAACTAGCTAAACCTAGAAAACTTCTAACTTCAGTAGCTGTAGTTGGTCTGTCCCCTTTCACAATAGCTTTTATCTTGCTTGGATCAATTGAAATGCCTTCACTAGAATTCACATGTCCCAAAAAACCAACTTTATTTAACTAGAATTCATATTTGTCCAGCTTAACATACAATTTCTGCTCCTTTAGTATTTGTGACACGATGGTTAGATGTTCTTTGTGTGCTTCTTCATTTGGTAAGTAAATTAAATTATCATTAATGAAAACAATAACAATCTGTCCAAGTACAATTGAAAAATTCTGTTCATCAAATCTATAAAGATAGTGGAAGCATTGGTTAATCCTAGAGGCAAAGCCAAAAATTCATAATTTCCATATCTAGTTCTAAAAGCTAATTTCAAAACATCTTCTAGTTTAATTCTTAGCTGGTAATAGCTTAACCTCAAGTCTATTTTAGAAAACACCTTCTCTCCTTGAAGTTGATCAAATAAGTCATGTACTTTGGAAATAGGTACTTATTCTTGATTGTCACCT